CTCCTGCTGTACGGTAATGCTCCCTTGAGGAATGGAGTATATTCGCAGATTTACATGTTAGTCTTGTGTCTGTTGCTTTATTATACAGTTCCTGATTCAAAGCAATAAAGAAAATGTGTCATCATCCTTAAACTATGAGTGCTGTCTAAAAATTGTAGCAGTTGTGGAGAGCAGAGGTAGGGAGCAGATGCATATTGATATTCTGCTGTGATTAAAGGTTGAGGCCCTTCAGCTATGACATGTCATCTCCCAGTTTAAACTCTGATAGCTAATTCAGTTTTGTTCTTTGTGTGAAAGATACTGTTTGATATTTCTAGGAGGTGCATCTTAAAGGAGAATATCTTTAGGAGAGCGTTGTTTAAATAGAGTGTTGAAAAATACAGGTTGGTTTATTCATAAAGGGAGTGTTTGCACTCACATTGCAGTGTTGAATAAGCATATATTATCTCTTGTTATGTACTTGTAATTATGATAATGGTAAAATTCACAAATAGTTCCAATTCCTAAATTTTGCCTCAAAGGCAATGAGAAATGTGAAAGGCACTGACTTACTTTTTCCTACTTGCAGTCATTGAAAAAGTAGATCCATGGCTCCATCTACTGGGGTTCAAAAACACCAGCATGAGGAGTAGGTATATGTTGAATGCACTGCACTCTGGCACACTTGTGAGAGTAACTGCTCGGCGGAAGCTGAAATAAAAAGTACTGAGTTTTATTTTTCAGCTGGTAGATTGGAGGAGTAACTTCCTCTGGAGATATTGGTGTAATATTTTGATAATTTTACTTATTTTAAATCTTGTGGATTTTCTCTGCAGTTACATTCACTGTCTGAATGTTGAATAGTTTGTTTCTTTTGACAAGATACAGCAATATGCATAATGCAGAGCTACCTGTGTAATTTTTACCCTGTACATTCGTGTTTTCCATAATCACACAACTGCTGTAGGCAAGATAAAGACCTAATATTGTATAGCTGGATGGCTCCTCCAGAGATCTCCTGTAGGGAAAGAATAAACCCCAAGTATAAAAAAACTTGACCTCCTGGTTTTTCTCTGGCAATTAAATACATAACTGTAAGGTATTTTTGAGATTAATTTGCATTTTCCAGCATTTTTGTGAAGACCAACATGAAAGAAAACTTTCTATTTGCTTAACTTTTAAAATTGCCACTAAAAGGGAAAATATTTTGTTCACACTTAATAATTTACATTGTTTTTGAGCACAGGAGCTCAGCAACTGAGCTGTAGCCAAGCTCATGAGGAAGTGCAGATTCTAAAATAACCCACTATTACTCTGGCTGCAGTTGTTTTCAAAGTAGTTTACTCATTTTTCTTCATTATATTGAACTCTATCTTGTGTAATACCAGCTGCAAAAATGTGCATCAGAAATCCATTCCATAAAGTGCAAAATTTGAATGTCTGTCTCCCTCAGCACTGAGTAAACAGTTTCAGGCAATAGCTGTATTTTAGAATTAGGAAGTATTACAAAGTAATGATTCTGTATTTGACCAAGATTCAAACCTCCATACAGAATACTGGGACTATTTTCTTGAGTGTTCTCATTATGTGATAATGATGCAAAATATATTTTGTCCTAAACGAGGAGCCTGATCTAATTGACAGTCTTAGAATCATAGAATATACTAAGTTGAAAGGGACCCATCAGATCAAAATCACTGAGTCCAACTCTTGGCCCTGCATAGGACAGAAGCCTTCCTGGACTGTCACTTGTCCTCGATCCTTCGTGTTTACTTGACTTCTTGTTAGTATTCTAAAGGCACAATAATTTATGTTACACAGAGCTTTGTATTAGTTCCTTGATTGACTGTGTAGGATCAGAATTGTTGTCCAGTTTAAATTTGAAAGAGGTGTCTGGAATGACATAATACCATTACAGAGGTGACTTTCTCTGCTGTTTTCTTTTTCCTTTGTTTCAGATTTTAAGAATAATGTAGTAGGGACAAGGATGTTAGCTAGAGAACATTAATGATTTTGTAGAGAAGATGTAGCTGGAGTGAAGTTCACTCTGCAAGAGTTAACTGCTATAAAGTTGTAAGCACAAATAATTATGTCAAATGTGGAGACTGAAAGGAAACACTTCCTATTTTGCTCATATAAGCAAAGTAAGACATATATGTTTATAACTCCTCTGCAATAAGCTAAAGAAATTGATAAAAGATAAGATTTAATTAGTGTCTTGGGGTACTAGTATCTTGAAATTCAGGTTATTTTTCCCTGTGTTGCAAGTAGAAGAGTTGTGACTTTAACTCAGTGCTCAACTTTGGCAGTTTAATGCTGCAAAATGTGTTTTTGTGTATATAAAATAAATGGTATGTGAGAATAATATTAAAAATATTACTAATATATCCACAAAATTCAAAGTATTCAAACTATATATATGCACATAAGCAGTCCTGTATGCATATATACATGGATGTATATGTTTTAAGAAATGTCCTCTGATAGCTACTGAAGAAGATAGAAGAAACAGTATCTTATACTTAGTTCATATTTTATGGGTGAGAATTTCTGACAGTTTATTTGTGCTCTTCCTTCAAGAGACAAGAAAGGAATAATGACTGAATAAATGCCATTTTGTTATCTGCAGTTTGAGGCAGTGTATTTGTTACCACCTGGAAAGCTAAGGTTGCGTTTATTCACCGGTCAATAATTAGAAATAATCTCTGTTATTATTTAGACACAGCTTTTGTATTTCCAGTGCAAGTTACAGTATGTGCTTTTTTTTGCTCAGTTTTTTGCTTCCCTCTGCTCTCAGTTTGGAGAATTTCACAATTATAAGCCAGGATGACTTGTTCTTCAGTGAACTGACAATTAAGGTGTGGGCAAGAGAGAGAATGATGGCAGCAAATGTTTTGTCTGACCATAAAATGTCTGTAGTGATCTAACGTATTTTAAAAATAATTTACTCATCTGCTGCTGTTGTAAAACTGCATTCTGAAGTCTTTTTTTTTTCTTTGACAGTTATGATCTGTGCTTACAGTAGAAGAGAGAACCCTCACAATCTCTTGTGTATGTGTGCTTATCCATATATATCAGTATACCTGCAAGTAGATGTCCAGAAAAGCAAAGAAAACCCAAAACAATTAGGTCCTAAAGTGGTTAAAGAAGTAAGAGAAGTTTGTAGGAGGAAGGGTGGAGAAGGTTGCGTGTGGCTCTCAAAAGCCCCTTTTCAGTAGGCTGAATTGTGGACAGGTGAACAAGCTGGTATAACACCAGCCCCTGTGTGAGTTCACAGGGCCCTGGCTTCTCTGCACTGTCACCTCTGCAGCTGCTCTTACACAGTGGTGTAAATTCAGACTTTCTTACTTGTCAGGGAAATGGAACAGCTTCTGTGCATTAGTTCATTTGGTGGATGTAAAGTTTTTCTGATAACTCTGTGGGGTTCTGTATTGTCAGTTTTGCCCCGGTCAGACTGAATTCGAATTGGGGTTTCAATCACAGAACCTGGGTATTGTCTAGGTTGGGTTTTAGCTTGTCATCAGAGATCACCAGTGACTTCTAGCACTTAGTGACTATTCCCAAGCTGTTTCTCCCATCTTAAAGTACAAAATTGCTTATTGATTCCTGGTGCTTGTGAATAGTGTGGCTGCTTGGCATTATATGTTCAGCCATACTAGCATTTAAAAAAAAATGTTAACAACACTACGTACAGTCTGATATCTAGTCAGAAACAGTCTCTGAACTTACTCTTTACACTGTCTTTCACGGTTAGAAATGTGGTTTTATTACTGCTTAAATATTCTGTTCCCATTTTATATATATGTGTGTGTGTATATATACACTACATAAATTTATATCTGTATAGTTAAGATCCTTGTTGTGACCACATAACACAAATTTCTCATCACATGAATTACTTTGGTTTTGCACTTGACAGACAAACATTGTTTAGGTAAATGACTTGGATTTTATTTCTGTATGCTGAATCCAGCAGCTCATGAAGTTATGATTGGGCATTATACCTATAGCCTCTCTTGTTCTTTTGATTACATAGTACATGTTTTTATTGCTCCCTCTGTGGTGCTGTCTTTCGCAGTGATGAGTTATTATAATGAGAACGAAAAGGAGATAGAACTGGTATATATTTCATAATGATTAATGTTCTTCTAGTACATCTGTGGTGCTGGTCAAAATAAGTTTTTATTGCTTAAATATTTATAAAAATGCCCAGTGCCTGTGTATGACACACTTTTCAATAATTTCAAAAAAACCCTGAAAAATTAGCCATTTATAAGCAAATACGCTGTGGGAGGATTTTAGAGGAGTGTTCAAAGGAAACATCAAAGTTTAAATATAGAAACATGATCCTGTGTTTTGACAATAAATTCCCAGAACTTACAGTTTCTTAGAAAGAATTTTTGGTGGTGCATATTTTGGCTGGACTGCAGTGCTGTCATTTTCTCTGCTGCAAAGCGATACAAGCAGCCTTTAGCAGGAGCACATGAGGCAATTAAAAATCCAACTGAAAGTTCAATGAAGATTGGAAAATTTAAATCCTCTTCTTTCATGAAAAAATCTGAGTATTTAGAAACACAAAATAATGATTTGTTCTACTCAGATGATGAAGAATCAAATATTTTCTAAGAAAACTTACAGTTTAGAAGACAACTTGTTCTAAAAACTTACAAAAACAAGGACATTTTGGGTGATATTCTTGTATAACTTCTGTCGTTTAGATTTTATGGTATTACCCACTGTGATCTGTGTTGTACAATACCATATATAAAACTGTATCTTTCATCTGTGGAATGTTTTGAGCCACATCTTTCCTCAGTTGCTGGGTTTTCAGTGCTGCTTATTGAACATCACTTTGAAATTCTAGAAGTCTTCAGTAATGCATATACAGTAACTTACAGCTATACACAAAATTGATGTTGACATCTCATTTATTTAGGCTGACTTAAGAGTTTGTTCAAGTGGGCTTTGAGGCTGAATTATTTATCTCCCCCCCCCCCTTTTTTTTTTCTCTGATTCCAGGTTAGTTTATTGGCCGTGAGGAGCCACGGACACTTTGTGCCCTGATGGGGGACTCAGGATCCAGACGATCGACTCTAGTATCTCGGTTGCCAATATTCAGGAGAAGTGTTAGCCGGAGACACGACTCCCTTCCTTCCTCTCCTTCTTCTGCTAATGCCATTGGTGCCCACACCTCCTCTCCATCCAGCACAAACTCCAGCTCAGGGAGCACAGGAAAGCGTCGGAGTATTTTCCGCACTCCTTCCATTAGCTTTCATAACAAGAAAGGGAGTGAGCAGAAGCAGGACTCAGCTAATCAAAATGTTAACATCTCAAATGGTGCCCAGTCCTCTCTCAGCACTTTTCAAAAACTCAGCTTAGAGGAGCACATAAAAAGCAGAGGAAGACATTCAGTTGGCTTTGGCAGCTCACGTAGCAAGAAGATAACAAGGTCTTTAACAGATGATTTTGAAAAGGGAAAGGAACCCTCAGCTAATAAAAATGTCTTCATAAATTGCATAAGCTCTGGAAAGAATGAGGGTGATGATTCGGGCTTTGCGGAGGAGCAGAGCCGATATTCTGTCAAACAGTCCACACGAAAACTTCTCACTAAATCTTTTTCATCACACTACAAATTTTCCAAACCAGTTCCAGAGAGTCAGTCAGTTACCTCTGTGCAGCAGTCCAGGTGCTTACTGGAAGTTAAATCCTATGTGGAAAGCGAACCTGTGATTGCCAAGTCCTCTCCTCCATGCTCAGCCGAGACTACAGAGTGCATGGGAAGCTCCTTGCAGTCCCCTCTGCTCTCAGCTGACCTCACAGCTGCCCAGACCCCCTCTGACTTTGTTGCCCTGACGGAGGATTCTGTTTCAGAGGTTGATGGTCTGCCCAGCAGTGGACCTGGTGCACTGCTCGCAGAGGATTTTGGCCATGATGTCTCTACCTCTCACGTCTTCTTTAATCCTGATGCTGCTCCTGCAAGGGAAATGGATTTTGTGGAAAGTACTGTCCATTCTGCTGGTGTATCTCCTGCGAGTCACGCGAGCTCATGTACTGTTGGATCTAATACCTTATTCAAAACCTCAGCTGCTAATCAAGCAGAAGTACTGTTGAAAGCCAATGGACTGCATATTAATGATGCCAGGCACATAGAAAAAAACAATGTGGACAAGGCACATTTAGAAACCTTTGTGTTACAGCATAGTGAAGAACCAGTGATACTCTCTCCAAAGGCACGAGGGTTGACTGGGGACAGAGATGAAAGAATGCCGTCCAAGCACATGAGAGACCCAATTCCTGTAACGGAGTCTAAGAGCGTTCCATGTTCTGAACCTCAGTCCTTTAAAACACAGCAGGGTTATGAAATGAACAATCCTAAAGGTATGTCTTGCAGTCTTCTTATTTTTGAGTTTGGTGGGGATTTTTTTGGTCTCAGTTTTTCTGTTGGGATTGTTTGGTCATAAAGTGTTTTTGTACATTTGCAGGAGCTAGCTAGGAATTAAAAAAGTTACGAATTGTGTCCGCCTCCCAAAATTGTAGGAATTAAACAAAAAGTCTATGTTTTTTTGAATTGATGTTGTACAGTTTGCGAACACCCATCACTGCTGTTCATGGCTATGCTTTCTTGTGTTAGAAAACGAATTAAGAAAGAGAGTATTGATTCTTGACTCTTGTTAAAGGCTGAAACTGGGATTTTTTTGAGGCATGCCTATTTTGGACTTCGTACAAATTATGAAATTTGGGATGGAAACATCACCAGAGAAATAAACCTTCTTGTAGTCTGGTTATGAAAAATGACATGGTTTACCTTATATTGATCTAGGTTTTGAAATTACTAGTCTTTCTTTCCCTGTTCAACTATGTTATGGAGTAGCTTAGAGTGGATATTTCTGTAACAGAGTACGAGAGATCCTATTTCTGTTTCCATCTCAAATAAGTGTCCAAATTGTCATTGTGTAATCTATGAAACTGAGAGAGTTAATTACCATCTAGATTTCACATGGTGTCTTTAGTTTATGAAAAGGAATTTGAAAATACTAACAAGATTAAGTGGAAAGACTGTGCCTAGAAATCCAAGTCAATAGAAATGCTGATAAGTAAGGCACAAGGCCCCTGAGTGAAGGACACCTGCAGAAAACATTTATCTCTGACAGTTGATGTTCTTAAACAAACTTAGTGACTGGTGCTTTCTTGAATAATCCTGAGGCTGTATCTGGTGGGACAAAATTTTTAAGAGATAACAAGGCGGCGTATATAGTGTTTGTATTAGAAGATGAATGACTTTAACGAAACTCATATGTATTCACACCCATCTTTTTGCTTGGATGTTTATCTAGGCATATAAGATTATAAACAATCAAAAACAATTTTGCTTTTTGAATTATTAGTCACTGCAAGGCTTGGTTGGATATCTTGTACATAAATGGCAACATAAAGACAAATTAATCCACTAAATTAGCTTTCACCAGAAGGCAGCTCTTTCCCTCAGAACCTTAGGCACTCTGGAGAAAAAATATTTCTATTTATGTATATTACCAGTCCTGAGCACCCTGTTTGTCTTCCTTGCCTCATTGTCTCATCTGTGAAGGAGCTCATATTTTTGGTTCTGCCTTACTAGAGTGTACTGCAGAAGAGCAAGTGAGCAGCTTGGAGGGATGTTTAGAAATGCCCAGTGTGTTTCAAACTCATGCGCTGGCAATTGTATACTTAATCTGTATTTCTGGAACGCAGCTAACTGGAGTTGAGATTGTGATAGAGGGATTTTTGTAAATTGGATTCGTGTTCACAGAAACACTAGAGCTAATACTGTGCTATATAAAAGTTAATGATTAATTGTTATGGTTTTATAGTGCTGTTCAAAATACAAATTTTTTTGTGTGTGGTGAAGAATGTATTTCAAATTAGAATCTGGCCAAGCATACAAAAGGACCACTGAAAAAAAAGATATAAAATCCTACCATATGAAATTAAGCAAATACAGGAAAAGCTTACATGGCATTTAATAAGATAAGTAGTTATATCTGTTGCAACAGACTGGTTTAAACATTTGGTTTTCTAAAACAGTATTTAAACCCAGATGTGAATACAAAATATTTCTCTGCTTTTTCTTTGTTAATAGGTATTTTCTTTTCTGTATCTGGTCTCATAGCTGCTATCATTATAGATACCATTGTGAACATGACATTAATGTATGGGCAGGTTTGAAGTGCCATGTATTTCTTAGTATACCTTTGTATATTTTTATGTGATCTGGATTTTTTTGAGAACCCTTGGAGAAAATGTCTCTTCTTTTGCAAAATGCAAAATGCAAAAGAAGATAAGATTTTCTCAGTGACATTTATTATGCTATCATGCTTTTTATCTTTCCCCATCTCTAAATTTACTTTAACACTTCAAAATGTATTTTTTTCTCCTCCTTTCTTATTTTGTTATTGTTTAACTGGAGTTGGGGGCTGGGATTCAGCCCACTGACTAAAGGCTCAGTTTGGAGGGTGCAGGGGCAGAGTTTTGCTGGGAAGGCTGAGTAGAAATGGCAACCGATGTGCATCCCTGTCCTATGCGGGGATAACAAAGTTGTGACCTGGCCCTACAAAACGTGGACTTGCCTTGGGATGGAGGGTAAGGCAGGGTGAGTTTTGGCACCAGTGAACCAGTGATAGTTTTTCTGATGGATTTTACTGGGCAGGAGTTTGAAAGTGTCCTGTAACAACGGGAGAAAGAAAAGGATGGAGCAAAGACCCTTCTGGATTCTATGAGGAGCCATGGACTGGGCTGTAGTGTGCTGAGTGTGCAATTCCTTGAGGGCTGAACAGTGAACTGGTGGCCCAGGTGACACTTTTATCTAGGTAAACCCAGTCTGCTTTCTACAGAACATCTCTTAGGGGATTCCCTTTCGATGTAAGCATTTCAAGCAAAGAAGTGTTCTGATTAAGAAAATATTTGTAGAGAGTAAGTCCCTGAAATGATTGTTGATTGCTTCTCTGTTTGTAGTTGATCTTGCCAATAGCTTCAGTCCATGCCGAGAAGGCAGATTTGTTGAGAAGCGGTTGAGATCCTCTTCGGAAGGTACTGCTGGAGGCAGTCGGCTGATCATAAAACCAAAGGATGGAAATGCAGAGGAGCTGAACAGCCTACGGAAGCAGAGGGCAAGCTCATCCTCTTCAAAAATGAACAGCATGGTGAGTTTTATTCCAATATACATATGTTCATGTCTTTCTGTGAGTGGTGTAACTAAGTACAGTGAGAAGCAGTACCTTTGCAAGTAACTATCAGTAATAAAGACAGGGGGAGCTGTCTCAGGCTTCCAAAATGTAATCTACACTCAGCTACAGCTATTAAAAGTATTTTTTTGCAGGGTATGACATTGTGAAAAAGTTTTCATACTTTCTGTGAAGAGTTTCTTCTTGTCACACATTGCTGATTTGCCTGGGAGAAAAACTGGGAGAGGGAACTGCAGCAAAATTCTGTACAACTATTTCTGAGGTTAAATGCAGTGGGCTACTCTGTGGCAACATTTTATTGTTATTGTGGTAGTTACTTCATGTGCTTGTCTGGTATGGATGAGATCAGACAGATCAGAAATTGGATAGAGAGGAAGTTGTCTGTAAGGAGGCTCATTTGAGAGGTCTGAGTGGTCCCTTTTGAAACTGGTGAGAAGTTTGAGTGCTTTCAGTGAGCACAAGGTAAAGAGGAGAAAGGATTCTTTACAAGAACCCTTGGAGAGTCCAGAGGACTGGAAAAGCTAAGGCAGATCAGATAACTGCAGGAGAGTACTTCTGAAACCTCTTTTTGAAACAGTAGTAGAAGGAATGGACTGACAAGTGCTTTCCTATAGTGAATAAATATTTTAAGGTGAGTGTAATTTATATTTATGCATGTGCTCTCCAGTGAAAGAAATAACAAAGATGGTGGGATTGAACACTGCAGCAATGGAATTCACTCTTTAGCTTATGGGAATCATTAAAACAAGCTTTATGGTCATTATTAGTTTGAAATATTTTATTAACCATATTGACTGAAAAAAAGGAGGATTCAGTTTGTACTTGTATCCAAACACAGCTTTTTGTGGAAAGCAAAAAGGTGCAAGTTTCTTACCCCTACCTATATTTGCTGACCAGATGTATAAAAAGGCTTTTCCTTTTCAGATTTATGTAATAGCTCTTATGTTACAATGATGCAGGATCAAACACATCTCCGAGATGTTCAGGTTTGACCACAACTGCCTTTTGTAAGAGAGAATTTTTGCAGTTTCATGGAGATGGGAAATGGATTGGTGCAAACTGATGTTAGATTTCCATTATGTGCTCTTTTGATGTATTTTTGCAGGCCAGTACCAGAAGTCAACAACTCATACCAGTGCTTAAGGCAACTTTTATGCTGTTTTGCTGACACTAAGCATAACATCTTCTCTTCCACCTGAGAAACCAAGGAAGACTAGAATTGTCTTTCTCTGTTCCTGATTGATCATTTAATAAAACCAGGTCCTGAGAGGGAATCTGATTTACTGTGAAATCCCCTTACAGAAACTGTGGCAGGAAATTCAGGTTTGGGGGTTTCTCAAGAGGATGTGAAACCCGTCTGTTGTCTTGATAAATCTCATCCACATGTGTGAACGTATCATCTAAATGTTCCTTTGTGACTGGACTTGAAAATGCTGCTGAGGATGGCAAGAGAAAATTATATCAGTACCTAAGCACATTCTGTGAACGTGTGGCTGATGCACAACAGATTTCACCGGATACCAGTGTCCTGAAGCAATGGTTGCTAAAACACTCAACTAAAATGGAGTTACTTGATGTCTTTTACAGAAAATCTTACCAATACAAGGGTAACCTGGGCAGATTGGACTGCCAGCAGGATTATTCTCTTCTTAGAAGGATCAGGTTGCACAGATTTATCAGGTTAATTTTATGCTATCTGAAAGGGCAGGAGGCAAATTAATTTTAGGAAGGAGGAAATTTTGCACACCTTCCTTTCTTGTTTCTAGATCGTTGTCAACTTGTCAAATGAAGTAGTACAGTAATTCAAAATTTATTTCAACAAAAATCTATTTTTACCAAAAAAATTGATTTCTAAATATTTTTTTTGGTGTCCACTGGTTTATTCCACCCAGAGATACAGCACAGAAATAGAGACATAGAACTGCTAAATAGTAGAAGAAACCTTTGTGCTGAAAAAGAACTGAGCTTTTGCATATTTATCTGTTTTTGCAGGAAGTTTGCATCCAGATATCAGTGAATAACATTTTATTTTTCAAAGCCAGGAAGAACATGATGACATTCAAAGATGCTGTTTCATACAGAGCATTATGCGGATGTAGTTCATGCCCTAAAATACTGGTTAACCTTGACTCAGGCCTGTAAACCTTACTTGGATTTTTAGACCCAAGCTGTTAGGTAGATCTCTGTGTTTATTTAAATACTGGGCTAGATTGATGCTGTAGCACTTTATTCTATTTAGCCCTGTATTAATGGTGGAATTGGGAAGGTGACAACCCAGTAACAATATGAAATAAGCAAAGTGTGGATGGGGTTAGGTGGTAATCTGAGTCCCTTCTTTGTTTTGTATATGAAATCCAGGGGCTTCCCCCCCCACACACTTCCATTAGCAAGATCGTCCACAAATTCACATATTTTTGCTCAAGCAAACAAGATTAGAGAGCATGCTCATGAGTGAAGGGTAAAATTTTTCTTGCTTTCCCCCCAGTACATGAATATCATCTTCCTATCTTAAGAAAATAAAAGCTTTTTTAGTAAAACCCAAAGTTTTAAGAAGTAAATCAAACAAAACCAAACCTAAAACCACTGCCCTGCACACCCCTCCCTCCCCACAATCAACCAGAAGGCAAAAGAATAAACAGAGTTCCCTGGAAGTAAAAGAATAAAACAATTTAAGAAATTGAATGTTCGCAATAATACATATTTGAACAATAAAAAGGCCTCTTCAAAGCCTGTCACAAGCAATTAATGTTTAACACCGTAGTAGCAGGTGTAGTAGAGTATTCTTGCATAATTGTCAGTTCTTGTTTCAAAGGTGATAGCTAAAAGCTTGGATAGACTGATCTCCTAAATGCTGGGAATATGTATCGAACCTGCAAAAATGGTCACCGCTTCCCCCAAGTGGGCCATTAACTCACTTGTGAGATGCTGAAAGTAATTTATAATCTGGCCAAGAGCAATGCTGCTCATCAATGAGATTTAGGGAAAGAAAAAAAATCTTTCACAATAATTTTGTGAACGTGCCAATTTCCTAGTAATGTAAATAACGATCTGAAAGAGATGCTGGAGACAACTGCTTGGATTACTAATTGTGTGTTTGCAAAACCGACGTTCTTGCAGTGACCAATTTCTACCACAAGAGGGAACCATTTCCCTAAAAATGGTTTTGGACTCACGTGTCACAGTTACCCAGAAGGTGACAATCGCAATTTAGGACTCCTGTTGGAACAGTTCAGTGTTATTAGCCTATGCTGTATAATAGACCCTTTTCAAATGAAAATTGTTGATATTGATGCAATTTAAAGAGGTGGATGTTGCTGTAGAAACTCTGGTCATTCAAACGTTCCAAATATGAACCCATCAGTTACAGCTTTAAATATTCAGACATAACATGTAGACTAGTTAACTATGTCTCAGAAGGTTGGTAGAGGCTATGTCTGATGGCTCTGTTTCTGCCTCAGTGGTTCTTCTTTTGCCATGGGTAAGAGAGGCAAAAGAAAGAAAAATGCAAAGCAGTATGGTAGAAGACCTAAATGGTCTGAAATATGCAGCCCTGCAAGACCAACGAAAACAATGCAAACCTGGCTAGTTGAGATATAGGAGAGAATTAGAATAACCACATGGAAAAAAAATTAGATCAGAACACCAAACCTCTGTAATTAAGTTCTTTAAGAGGATCAAGAGTCAGAAGAGCAGGAAAAAAAAAAAAAAGACTTGCTGTGCTACAGTACTTAGAATTAACAGAAATTGAGATGTGTGTGAGCAACGAAATTATCCATCACTTCTTATAGTAGTGACTAGTATGGAAAGATGACCATCCTGAGTATCACATTTAACAGTACAAAGAGAAAATGTTAAAAATTGCTCCCTTTTTTTTTTTTTAAGTTGCTGATAAAGATTTTGAAATGCTAACAAATTACAGGTATTAAAACTAGATAGTCATGAAGGATGATATAAATGGAAGTAACTGTGTGTTACTGCAAGATAAAAAAAAAGTTCAGAGGGTGGTTGGAGCCCCTAGACCACACTACCCAACTTCAAGAAACAAGCTGCATTGTGCTGCATGCATACACGTTTTCACTCTGTCTAGAAACATGACTGTATGCAAGCAGTAGAATGAGACTGCCCACTTATATTTTGCTTTCACAAACCTGCCTTTCTGCCTCTCTGCTATTATTTACAAGGAAAATACTTATTTGTCTTAGTGACTGCTCCTTTGCCAACACCTATCTATCTATATGTGCTATATAACTAAAAGAAACTTTATCTTTCAACTTTTTCTTGTCTCAGTGGGTGAGCATTCTGTTCTGTGGGACTGTGTTTTTCCAGGTACTCTTCAGCACAGTCTTTTCTTCAGTTTCTCATACTTGAATCTTCTCTAGATGTTGCCTGGTTTTTATCTCTTAAATTCAGCTGCAACTTTTCACCCTTGCAGGTAAAATTTTTATGCTTACCCTGAATGCTGCATCATCCACTTCTTTTGCCAAGAGCAAGACCAAGCCTTACCTACTTGTGTCAGCACAATTAGAGCTGCACAACTTAGTTTTCTGGATTGTTGCTTTGACTGTACCATTTCTTTCTTTGCATCTTTCCTGTGGTTCCTGTGTATTAGATAAAACCACTTGTTACCCAGGACTTTCAAGGACATCCCAGCTTTTTCCCCTCAGCTTTCAGTGATACAAGTCTTCATTGCCCTGTTGTCAGGATGTCAACTGCTTTATTGCCCTCCTCAATTTTCATTTTAATTTTTTGCCTTTTCTAAAGATAATTTTTCAAGATACCTGCTGGTACTGTATTACTGAGGTTTTTTTACTGAGCTTTTTTTGCTTACCCATCCAATGCTGACGCTTAGCCAAAATCCCCTCTTCCTCCTGCTTGTACTGTGCTTATTATGTGAGAATGCTCTGAGTACCAAACATCTCAGTAAGTATGCTTATAACATAAATTAAGAACAGTGTATG